CTCAGGAGGCTGAGGCAGGAGAATTGCTCTAACCTAGGAGGTGGAGGTTGCAGTGAGCTGAGATCACGCCACTGCACTCCAGCCTGGCCAACAGGGCAAGACTCTGTCTCAAAAAAAAAAAAAAAGAACAACCATAGGCCAGGTTGTTCACAGTGGCTCACGCCTGTAATCCCTATACTCTGGGAGGCTGAAGTGGGTAGGTCACAAAGTCAGCAGTTCAAGACCAGCCTGCCCAATATAGTGAAACCCCATCTCTACTAAAAATACAAAAATTAGCCAGGCGTGGTTTTGGGTGCCTGTGATTCCAGCTACTCAGGAGGCTGAGATAGGAGAATCGCTTGAATGTGGGAGGTAGAGTTTGCAGTGACCAAGACTGTGCCACTGCACTCCAGCCTGGGCAACAGAGCAAGACTCCATATCAAAAAAAAAAGAAAAAAAGAAAAGAACCACAAATGTTAAGTTTGCATAACAACCTGGAGCTCTGAATGTGTTCTGGCTGTCTCTTAACTAGCTGTGAAACCTCAACCTCTCACCTCCTCGTGTGCTCATGAGGAATCAGATGATCTTGGAGCTTCCTCCTAGCTCTCACACTGCATGATTCTAAACCAAAGTTCACGACTCCTCGAGCAGAATCTAAACTGCAGCCCCGTTGAATTCTGGTGCCTGCGATGGAATTTCCGGTCTTCCCACTGCACAGTGGGCATGTTTTGTCTTGCTTGTGTCCTTCTTTTATGTGTTTACTATTTTTTTTCTTACAAGTGCATGAGTTATACAGAAACTTGTTTAATGAATCATTGCAAGAGCAAAGGCAGTAACCCCACCGCATTTTGTAGAAACCCCACTTAAAATTTATGACTCACCCAGTTGAATCTCCATGCCTGGTAATCTTATGACAACTTGAATATGTGCCACTAAACTGGATTGCACCATTGTAAAAATTAATAGTAACAGTATTGCATTGTACTGAGAGATTTGCATATATGATGATCTCCTTTAATCTTCACAAAAACCCTGTGATAGATGTCACTATTGTCATCATCATCTCCATTTTACAGATTGAGAACCGAGGCTTCAAGAGGTTAAGCAATTAACTATTTCATGTCTTTGAACTAAGCTGGGATTTTTGGTTTTATTTATTTATTTTTTATTTAAATACAGATAGGGTTGCACTGCGCTGCCCAGGCTGGTCTCGAACTCCTAGGCCCAGGTGATCCTCCTGCCTCGGCCTCCCAAAGTGCTGGGATTACAGGTGTGAGCCACCACACCCAGCCATAGCATTTCTGTTTTAATTATCTATTGCTGCATAACAAATTGCCACAAAATGTAGTGGCTTAACACAACCTCCATTGTGTCATCTGTCATGGTTCTCTGGCTTGGCTGGCCTCAGCTAGACGGTTCTCATTTGGAGATTCTCAGATGGCAGCTGCGATAGTCATACAGATGCTTGAGCAGGACACTGGGACACCCAGGCTTCTCTCTGTCTCCACAGAGCCTTGACACCTCTCTACATGGCGTCCCTGTGGCCTCTCTGTGTGGCCCCTCTGTATGGCATCTACATACAACCTCTTCATGGCGTAGTCTGGACTTCGCAAATGGGCATACTCAGGGCTTCTGAAAGCACACAGGCAGACCTTCTTAATGCCTGGACTTGCAAACCCTAGATCATCACCTCCACCGGATTCGATCAGGCAAAGCCAATCACAGAGCCAGTCCACATTCCACCAGGAAGTGCCGCCTAAGCCCGGGAGCACCAGGAGGCACGGCGCATTGGGGCTATTCTGGGAGACTCACCACTGCAGAGTGTAGATAACACTGAGTTGGGATGACACTGAGTTGAGAACCTTCCAAAAAAAATACCAAAATTAGCTGGGCATGGTGGCACATGCCTGTGATCCCAGCTACTTGGGAGGCTGAGGTGGGATGGTTGCCGAAGCCCAGGGTTTCAAGGTTACAGTGAGCTGAGATGATGCCACTGTACTCCAGCCTGGGTGACAGACCAAGACCCTGTCTCAAAACAAAACAAAAAAAGGCCAGGCTTGGTGGTTCACGCCTGTAATCCTAGCACTTTGTTAGGCTGAGGTGGGCAGATCCCAGCACTTTGGGAGGCCGAGGCGGGCGGTTTATGAGGTCAGGAGATCAAGATCATCCTGGCTAACATGGTGAAACCCCGTCTCTACTAAAAGTACAAAAAATTAGCGGGGTGTGGTGGCACGTGCCTTTAGTCCCAGCTACTTGGGAGGCTAAGGCAGGAGAATCGCTTCAACCCAGGAGGTGGAGGTTGCAGTGAGCCAAGATTGTGCCGTTGCACTCCAGCCTGGGCAACAAGAGTGAAATGCCATCTCAAAAAACCAAAAAAACAAACAAAAAAACAATAACAAAAGTGGCCGGCCCAGTGGCTCACATCTGTAATCCCAGCACTTTGGGAGACCGAGGCAGGTGGATCACGAGGTCAGTTGTTCGAGACCAGCCTGACCAACATAGTGAAATCCCCGTCTCTACAAAAAATAGAGAGAATTAGACAGGCATGGTGGTGAGTGCCTGTAATCCCAGCTACTCAGGAAACTGAGGCAGGAGAATCACTTGAACCTGGGAGGCGGAGGTTG